AATGTAAAAAAGCCGATGAATGATCAATCGATTAGAATACATACGACTTACTTGAACTTCGTTTTTGAGAAAAACAACAAAACATAATTTTTGAAAGCGACATAAATACAACCGGAGATTTCAAAAAGAGATAAGAATTTCCTAAGAAGAAATGACAAGGAAGGAAAAAGCACATTAAACTGGATGCTTCCCTTTGTTTAATTTAACAAGGGATCCCGGCTGCAAATAAGACCGCAAACACGTCGATAAATCAATGTGGCCGTGTGTGTCTCAATGCCGGCAAGTGGTGAGTTTGCTAATGAACTCCCTGTCCTCCGCAACAGATAGCTTTGTACTTCTCAACATGGGAAACAACCGCAGTGTGGCGCAACAGAATGATTTCAACCGGAAATGATAAAGTTCACTGCCCTTCTATAAAGTTCGCATAAATAATTTCTTCCGCACATCGAAACAAACAAAAAACATTTACATTTAAATGTAGGTTTTTTTTTTCTTTAAGAGAAATATATAGATGAATGGCATATTGACATTTTAAAAATGGTCTTTATGTTATTAAATACTTTGTTTTTGAATAGGACAGCTCAGAATATTATTAATATCGATATTCAATTACATTTTTTTTATATGCTAGAAAAGAAAACCTGCCAAAACCGTTCACACACTGCAGGATATTCAAAGCCCCCCCCCCACACACACACACACTCGCACGCACGCACACACACGGACAGACTCACACACACACATCCACGCACTTACGCACGCACTCACACACACTTTTTTGTCAACAGTGCGAAGGATCATAAGGCCAGTTTTTTTGCCACGCGACAGATCCAGCAAGTTGGCTGCATTTCATTCCACCCATACTACATAAGAACAGTTGAATTGTGGGTACCTTTTAACTGGAGCTGTATTCACAAGGTCACTAACACAAGACGGGACAGGGTCAGGAATACCGACATTAGAGAGAAAGTTAGCATAAGACCATGTCTGGATTATTGACAGACAAAGACTAAAATAGTTAAGCCATCTAGTGAGAATACAGCTGAATCAGACTGCATATGAAATTTTTACAGCAGAACGTCTGAGATGAAGGCGATAAAGAGACTAAGAAAGAGATGGATAAATAGTGTAGCTAAAACCCGAAAAAAAGGGGGGGAGGTGGGGAGAGAACATATCTATCACCTAAGACACCTGAGAAACCAAAGACAAATACAGAAAACCACGTCACTGGGCTACAACAGGTATCATTGAGTCGACAAAACCACGTCACTGGGCTACAACTAGGTATCATTGAGACGACAAAACCACGTCACTGAGCCACAACTAGGTATCATTACGACGACAAAATCACGTCACTTGGCTGCAACTAGGTATCATTGAGACGACAAAACCACGTCACTGAGCCACAACTAGGTATCATTACGACGACAAAACCACGTCACTTGGCTGCAACTAGGTATAACTGAGACGACAAAACCACTTAACTGGACTACAACGAGGTGTCATTGAGACGACAAAAAGAGAAGTATAAGGAATTACGAATTATAAGTCAAGTATTTTCAGTGTCTTTATCAAACGGTCAGTGGACAAGAAGGTTCAGAAAAACAGTGCATGCCACTGAAATTCAGAAGAGTAGCCACTAGGACAAGACTGACTAATATTTTAGACAAAAATAACAAATTAAACGGTCATAAACAAACCAAGAAAGCGAGAATATTATTGCGAAACGATAGCCACCTTTTTCGAAAGGAAATTCATCATCATCAAGTTCTAATCTGCCGTTGGGCGGCGTGGGGAGGAACAGTTTGCAATCCATTGCTTGATTGGCAGCAGTGGCTTTTATCATTCTGTTTCGACGTAGAAGCTCTTCGTCTCTCTCAGTCTCAAGAAACGCATCATGCGTTCACATATTACTTTCTAAAAATCCGTGAACGCAAGATGAGCTGCTTTTATGTCTCACTTTACTATTCCGTGGGCCTCTCATGCTACATCCCTTGGGACTAAAAGATGTGATGTCATCAATCCTAGGGCGGTTTCTTGCTTTCACTTCAGATCATTTTATGTGTAGCGCTTGCGTTGGTAGTTGTTCTGGCTGCATTTTTACTAGATGAACAGCGCAATATATCTGCTGTTTTTTCAATGAATTCGCTGCATGCTGTTGTTCCTTGTGTTTGGTGACATAATTTTTAACTATCTCAGGTGGTTGATCTGAGGGCTTTTCTCAAGCATCTAATTTTAGAGGTGGTAATTGTACATAGGTTAGCCTTTGTCCACGTCTGGTACTGGTAGCACAGTGCTGGTAAGAATATGTTGTTTATAATCTGTTTCTTTACCCGGCTCTTTAGCGAAGTTGGTTAAACCTGACTTTCGCGGCGGCCGGGTGACGAACTCCTTGTGGTCCGGGTTCACTCCCGGGGGTAGGCAGAAAAGTCACATTTCTCCCAGATTAACGGTACCTATAATGGAATCAAGGCCGAAGGGTTGCGATATCCATGGTACCGAGCCAAAGGGTTTACAACTCATGGTTTCTGGATACGTAAAAAAAAAATTTTTTTAATCTGTTTCTTAGCGCTATACTTATATTTTGATGTCTTAATAACAGTTTCAGTTTGTCTATAAGTACATTGACTCGCTGGAATCTTGTTTCTATTTCATGATTTCTGTCCACCTAGAATATACTCCCTAAATACCTAATCTTGTAACTTGCTTCAGACAAGTCCCATTCAACCCGATAGTAGCGAACTAAAAATGCTGCTGACCTGTATGTGTGCAACCTTTTCATTTCCTGAAACCTTCTTCTTCTTCTTCTTTCGTTAACTTGAAATAAATTATCAACCAAATTGTGATGTACTCAAGTGGTGTTCATCTGTAGTTCTAAATATCTGTGCTGAAATAACTTTGCATATTTGTTTCCTGTATAGCGCAAGAGTTATATGTATCACTTTACGATGCACATTATCTTGTATTACCTTTCCCTTCCCCCCACCCTTTCCACTTCCAGTCCCCAAATGGGTACTGTCAGTGTCTGCTGCCATTCAAATTGAACTTTCATTTCTTCTTTTGCTGTACTGAAAATTTGTGTTAGCCATTTGATGCCAGTTTGACAATATGCTTGAATGGCTTCTGTAGGCAGCTATTCTATTTAAACCAGTTGCTTTGGATTTTAGGGTTCTTCTGTACAACAGCTTTTACTTCTGGTGATAACAAGTTTGATTCATGTTGGTCATTGCTTGGGCCACAAAATGGATGATATCTACCCCGATTTCTTAGCTGGTTAGCTCCTTAAAATAATCTGCGAACCTTAGCCTTTGATTTGGATTAAGCACAGGACAGCCTCTCTTGTTGTTCATAATGGTGGTTGGACAGTTGCATTCATCTCCTACTCTCATATGTTTAACCTTTCGTAAAATTATCTGGAAGAACTTTTACTAAGTGTGTCCATCTGTTCTCCACAATTTTGTCCACGATTCTTCTTTCGGAGAATTTATCATTTGTTTTTGCATCTCTTCTTATTATTCTTCATGGTACATAATCTCGTTCATATTTGGATTTAATCCATTTTGTGTATGCTTCCTTCTTTTTTTACAAACGATATCTTTAACATTATTATTCGATGATGCAGTCTTTAATCGTTTGTCTAGTCCTACTTGCTCAGTTCCGCATTTTTTTTTTTTTTTTTTTTGGGAGTGTAAAGTATTGAAGTTTGCCATTTTGTTCTGTACATCTGAGTACTCGGCTGGAAGATATTAAAAATATTTTTTTTTTTTTTAATTGTGCAAAGAACATTGTAGAAACATAATTACATACTAGCAACGATGCTCGGATAAAAGGTCGAAGGTGAACACGTAAAAAGACGACAGCGATTTAAATTCCCCCCCCCCCCCCCCAAAAAAAAAATCCAGATAAGACAAGCCGGGAATAATCAACGTTATTTAAGAAGGAAAGTTGTTTTTATGTATATGCGTAATGTGAGAATTATGAAGAGGGAACAGACCTCAGGCGAAATAATGTTGCACATAAATTCCTGCTACAAGAAGGAAACCCGTTTCGCTACGTTTTTATTCGTTTCGTTTTCTGTTTCTATCTCCTATTTCCCTTGTTTCCAGTTTTTAGTTTATTATATATGATTTGCATGTTTGCAAAAGCATCTATAAATCAGGACAGCTTTGATCATTGTTCGAAATGGGAGCAACGGACAGAGGATATTTTTTTTTCTAAATAAATGCGTTTGGTATATTTTGTAATGTTTCTGTTTATTTCAAATTTTTTTTTTTTAGGAGCCTCTGTTGTAGAGCGGCTAAACGCTTTGCTGCTGATACAGAGGTCGTTGGTTTCAGGTCCTGACAGAACATGGCTTTTTGTCAACAATGATCTTGCTCCCCCCCCCCCTCCTCTTTGGGTCGACCCAGCCTTGAGATGATACCACGTATACCCCTAGAAAGTAAGGCGATCGGCGTGATGTTAAAGATATTAGCCACCACGTGCAGATTGATCTATTAAAAAAGGTCTAGCCCTATACGCCCAATTTACCCGAAGGTGTGGGAAAAGATCCTTTGAATTGTTACCTATATTATTATAATTAATATTATTATTATTATTATTAATATTAAAACTGCTAGTGCTACTTCTGCTAATGCTATTTATGCTGCTAATGCTGGTTCGTAATACTACAACTGCTTAATACTAATAATAGTAATGATGATAATTACAAGTCTGAATTTTTGAATGAAGGAATGGTAAAACATGTTTATATTAACATGAAATGTTGATGTTAGTTTTGATTTTCGTGAAAGAGAATTAGCACCATGACGGTAACAGTTAGCAGAGAAAGATCGATGACTGTAATAACGATAACGACGACAATCGCTATGATGATAATGATGATAGAGATGATGATGGTGTTAAGCACGACAACGAAAAAGATACACTGAGTAGATTTAAGGCGAAAATGATACTAACTATTGTTTGATGATGATACATGTGCGTGTGTATGACATTACCTGAAGTGCCTCCTCTATCCTAATAGCTTGTTGCAGAGATTCAAATTCCATATCTGTAACAGAGCCCTCCTTCTGTGCCAGAGTGGCTTCATTCAAGGCATCAGTGAGAACATCGTTTTCCAGATCCTCTAGCCGGGAAACAATTTTCAAATTGTCAACTTCATCCTGCAGTTCCAAAATTTTAGCCACAAACTGCTCCAAATTAGGAGGTAATGCAGCAATGTCTACATCATCCACCTCGTCATTGTTCTTAGCGGTGATTTTCCTAGCCAGTTCTTCCGCGTCAAATGTTGGTGCCCGAGCAGGCTCAAAGGATGCAGCTCGTTTGATCGTACGTTTCTGATTAGGGTTTTGGTATTTGCGGTTCAGCCATTGCCTTTCAATTCCTGCTATATTTCTTTGTTCAGCTTCGTTCAAGTTTTCAGCATTCAGTATGTCTCTTTCTTCAGATTCTTTATCATTTTCAGCTTCAATATTGTCTTCTAGTTCGGAAGCTATGACGTTGATAAGATCCAACTCTTTTTCCTTTAGTTCTTTTGCCTTGCTTGGCGATATATTAGACATAACTTGTTTTTCTATTATTCTTTCTTCACTGGCATTTGGTTCTCTTTCAACAACGACTTCAGTCTCCTTTACAACTGGTGATTCTTCCCCATCAAAAACGGCCTTAAGCTCTTCTCTGCTGGCAGGCTGAACTATGGTAATAGCTTTAGGCTCACCATTAGTTTTCTACCGCTTCTACTTTAGTAACTTTGGCCTCTGGTGTTTCTATTGTCTTCTCGCTGAATTTCACAGCTTGCTTCTGTAGCTTGTCCACAGCTTTCATTAGAGCATGGAATTCCTCCTTCGTTAAAGTATCAAGGGAGATAGCATCATTGGCGTCGACATCTTTCCCAGGCGTGACTATTACAGCTTCTTCGGCTACTGGGGGAAAATGATTTCTTCTGCACAACTTTACCATCTCCTTTAACACTAAGCGGCTCTTCTTTTTTCTTTTTCTCCAAAAAAGATTCTGGATTAATGTTGGGCTGTGAAATATTTCCATCAAGATCGTCGGCAACAAATATATCCTCAAGTTCTTGTCTTGAAGGTTCTATAGCAACAGGAACAGATACCCTGCTTTCGTCCAATGGCACAGCGTATTCTACAGGGGTTTGAACATCAATAAACCGCCCATTGGACTCCCAGTCTGTTCCAAGACTGTTTCTAGAGCTGTCGCTACCAACATCTGCTGCTTGCAGCCATTCTGCATCCTCTTCCAATGTATAAGGCTCATTGCTCAACAGTCGGTCAGAGTCCAGGTAATCTGTTACAGCTCGCCTTCTTTGTCTTTGAAGGATTGCAAGAGCATCTGCAAGATCCGTGCTCCGTTCTTTTCTGCTGCTGATGCTGAATGAGGCCACTTGACAGGTAATTAGCAGGATCAACAGCAGACCTAAGAATTGTTGTTCCATGATATCTATCTCTGAGGGGAAACAAAACCACCTGAGGAAGAGAAAACGTACGCGTTTTGTAAAACCAATCAAGTGAAGAAGTTTTACAATATAAGCATATGAATTACTGTCTTATTTAAGTCAGTAAAATATCACAGTATAAGGTAATCACCACTGATAACCAGAATCATGAGAGGTTATAGACTGAAATGGTTGGGGCATATTGAAAGAATGTCAGATGACAGAGAAGTAAAAACTGAACACGAAGGAGATGAATGGATGTAGACCACGAGGCAGACCAAGAAGATCATAGAGAGATAATATCCAGACAGACTTGCAAACACTTGGTGTCCCCTTTTGGTAAAAGAAGGCCAACAAGAGAGGTGTATAGAGGCGGGTGACATCTGCAGCAATGAACCTCAAGAGTTCGGAATGCTGAGGAAGAAGAAAAATAAGGCAATCAGAGTTTTAACATCACAGCATAACTGCTCAGTTTCTGATCCAACAAGAACCACACAGAATATCCATCGCTTTACCTTGTGACAAAATTTTATCACAGGCTGCAGTGTCAGCAAATTTAAAACCGTTGTCATGCATTAAATGCATAAGGTAGCCATCATAAGTGCCACCACAAACTCTTCGACACTAGAAATGCAGTTCGTCGTCGACGGATGCAGCAGTTACAACAGATTAGGAGTCGCACGCGCAATTAATCAATTAAGGCAGCACCAGTTCTATAGCAACAGACCACTTGCCATTTTTTTTGAATACGCAGTTTGCAACACAAGCCACACTGGGCACAGTAGAAAATCATCCTAAATAAGACCCACGGCAGACAGTGTCCAACCATACACTCTACTCTCATTAGTTGGGCGACAGAACTATATTCTGTCTGTCTACATTGGGAGGAAAATGCAACGGCTAACTATTGTCTGAAGCAAAATCTTTTCCTGACACAAACAAGTAAATAGCCTCTCCACCATATTAACCAGAAGTCTCATATCATAGTATACCCAAACAATTCAAATACATGTAGTGTGGGAGACTGAAGAAATACAAACAGAATGAAGAGAAGGATATCTTGTGAAATTGCCCCAAAAAGCGGGTTTACAGAAGTGTGAGAACTTTGGAGGAATTATGTTGCTGTCAGTTCGTGTAAAAAATATTACTTAGAATCGTCTTGAAGAAAATTAGAGATGCTATTGATAACAAAACTGAGAGATGAACCGGCATGTTTACGGCCAAAATTCTCATGCACCGACCAGATAGCCACATTGCGTATACATTTATCTTAGAGCAAAGCACTGAACAGCTTTCATGGCACCTGGATGTGGTGTTCTAAAAAAAAAAAAAAAAGCCTTAAAACTAATATTAAACAAAGAAGTTTAATCCTGAGGTCAAATTATTACTGTTGTATGGAGCGGAAACAATAATAACTAAGGTAAATTACTAATTAACTTCAAACATTCATTAACTGGTGCCTGCGCAGAATATATGGAATTAAATGGTATTTAGGATCACTAATGTAGAGCTTTGGGAGAGAACTAAACAAGTTAAAGTGGACCAAGAGGTGAAGAAAAGACTCTGATGTTGGATAGGACACAAGCTGAGAAAACATGAGAGCAATAAAATTAGAATGTCTTTGCACTGAAACCTACAGGGGCATATAAATAAAGGAAGACATCCCCCCCCCCCCCAACCCCACCAAGGAAAAAATAAGAAGGAAGAAAAAACACATGGAAAGTGAATTTAAATAGATGCGGAGGACATAGGGAGAGCCGCGGGCGAAAGGGAAAGATAGAACGATTTGGAGTGAGTTGGTCTTTGCTGCACTGGGGGTTAGAAGGCAGAAGAGGAGGATATTTTCGAATCCTGGAGAGTAGCAATAGGTAAAGATACTGCAGAGATTATCAGGTTGACTTGAAGATGATACTTTGATACTTTGTCAGATCTGACATTTATGACTTGATGTGACTCTCGCCTACTCCAGCAGCATTCAAAATGGAAAGATAATAGTGTTGGTAGCTTCTTTTTAAGCCAGAGTCTGCTGCCACCCTTCTGTGTAGTGAGCTACTTTTTAATTAAGCAGACGTGGTGATACCTCTCTGGGATCAAATGGACAATACAATAAAACAGAAAAAGAATCCATACAGTAAAAATATATTCAACAGTTTAAAGGTGGGGTTAAGAGGGATGTGGGTGAGTGGAGGTTATAAAAGATATGTAACACAGCGGGCTGAAAAGAAGGAGGGAAAAAGGGAAAAAAAGGGGGGGGGGAGTGCATTGACGGACTTTTGATCAGCTTGCAACTGGTGTTGTTAGCATTTTTACTCATCTTTACAAACTGAGGAAAGACACGAAGCTTCTGTGGGAATTTCCAGAGAAGCAGGAATGTCAATTCTAGATTGTCTGATTCGTTCATTTACTCATTCATTTATTCACTCTTTCTGTAGCAAAACTAGCGGTGAGATAAAGGTATTTCTCGGACAGTTAGAAACCCGACAGTGCTGCATCAGTGGTTCGACATCGCAGATAGATGCTAATAGTTTCAGTTCCCTGAGGAAATCTGTAATTCTCCAGTCACATTAAGCGTCTAACGGTAAAGGAAAAGTAAATGTCAGTAAACGCTGAAAGTATCTTTGACGTTGCTGTTTGGTGAGTTTAAGCTGAGTGCTTTTGTTTGAAGCCTGCGTTTTAAATCTGCTGTTATTGCGATTTTATTTACACAAAATGTTTCTTAATAGCTTTAGTGAGTATATTCTGTCGGCGTCAGTTTCACGGGAAATGGATTTGTTCATGACTTTTAACAACTGACACAAAGTGTTGGTGTGTGTAATTCGTTGAGCAGATTATTTATAGACAGAAATTTCATGAAAGTTTTGTATAGCAAAGAGTCAGAGCTTGTGTGAAGATCTAGAGATTGAATCCCCATGACAAGTCTATCTATCTATCTATCTTCTATTACCCCACCAGGGCATCACACAAGCGATAAACACCAGATGACACAAAGAGCCACCTCGTGAATTAGGATCACCCGTGGAATGGAACTCATTTGTCATAGGAGAAATTTAGTGATAGGTCTGCTATATTGTGTAAACTAATCAGCAGTTAATGGCCGATGTTAGATCATATTCAATAGAAACAAAGTGAACTAGGGTGGTGTACTAGATAGTTGTTCGTCAGTCGACCTAGGGGCATTTAGACTAAATCCTCATCGATAGGATATTCCTTGTGATTGTTTCCTAAAAATGACATTGAGTCCCAGACCAGTCCGGCTAAAAGTGGGTGCCAAGTAAGGCTAGCGCAATAAAGGCAGCATTATGCCTGACGCCTTTACTTCCTATCTTTGTACATGATACTCATTATAGGCGGGGTTGACCTAGAGGCCATCATATTTACAAGAAGGCGTGAAGAAACAAAACAACTGAAGGCGTCACTTACACGCCTGCACTCGAAGAAAGCCAGTCTCATACCAGAATCAATCACGCACTGCGAACTTACTCTTGGACATGAAATTTAAAATGTACACGTTGACTCATCATCAAGGGCCTTGGCGATTGGCGTGGGTGATCCTGCTGTCCATAATCTGAATTAATCAAGTAACAGAAAGTATTGTGAACGGCACTCATAGAAAGAAGTAGAAAGATAGAAGAACACACTAGACAACATAAAAATCGAAAGCTATAGTTACCGTGCCGGGAATTGAACCTGTCACCTCCAGACGGCGTCTGCGCCTCGCCATGAATACAAGTGCACTAAGATACATGGTCAACTAGGCTCCCCCTAAAAAAGGTGTCTCATTGGCCATGTCTATCGTACAGCTTGAAATCCACGACTATGGAATACGGACATAATTCATTTCAACCCATTGAAATGGCACCATAGGTTACATAAATTTATATTAACGAAGCAAATGTCGAATAACAATCACACCAACAATTTACGAACACAGTAAGACCTTATTGCTTTGTCTAGAATACACAAACATTTAAGAAAGGTATTTGATTGGTAGATTCCGGTGTGTATACGTCATTCCTATAAATAAACAGAGGGGGGAACCGTTTGAGGCCGTTAAATATTATGAATTAATCAAGTAACAGAAAGTATTGTGAACGGCACTCATAGAAAGAAGTAGAAAGATAGAAGAACACACTAGACAACATAAAAATCGAAAGAGGAATGTCCATAATCTGCGATTCGCAACTGCGTGTATCAGTTGGTGTGTTGACGCCCCTCCATGCCATGACAAAAGACTCAAGAATCTCATCCCGCTGTCTTCCTCTGTGTCTCTTTTCACAGATCTTTCCAGTGGTCACAATATGTTCCATTTTGCCTCTTTTCATAACATGACTACAAATGATGACTGTCTCTTTCTGAAGTTTGTGATGAGTTGTCTTCAAGCATTCGCCTCTTTCAAAACATCTTTGTTGCTTTTCTTAGCTCTCCAATGAATTCTAAGGATTCTTCTGTAAAACCACATCTCCGCGGCCTCAAGATATTCTTCGGCTTGTTTATTAATACACGTTGACTAGTACATGAGAAAGAATCCATCATCTGCTCCTGCTTTTTCTTCTTCTTCTTCTTCTTCTGTACTTTTTCGCTTCCTCTTTTATCGCCTCGGGTGTCGAGCGGTATATACGGTTGTTCTTCTTGCTGTAACGGAGTGAGACCGCGAAGGGCAGAATTAGATAGGCCTGCGTGTCTAATTCTCAGCCCATTAAAAATAAAGTTTGTTCGTTCGTTCGTTCGTTAGTTCTTCTGGCTGCCCCGACCACATTCGCATCGTGCTGTAGTTGCATTTCTCTGATGTTGTCTTTCCATCTTGTTCTTGATCTACCTTGTGCTCTACGTCTTTCTTCTCTTTTGGTGTTTACCATGTACAGTTTGGCATCACAAAGCATTCTCTTTAGGTGAGCACACGGGTTAATTTGCTGTCTTTGTGTGTAGTTTAGAAATAGTTATGCGTTGAATTCTTCTCTTAGGATCTAATTCCCGATTGGTATATCTTCTGGTCGAGAGTC